ATCACTAGTAAAGTGAATGACCCGAGGAGGTACGGCATTTTCACTCTCTGCGTATTCTATCGCTCTCTGTATCTGAAATCCAGTCTTTTTTATTTTAAGGTTTGCTCGCTTTATTGATGGAAAAGAACAGCATGTACTGGAGGAAGAAGAAGAAATGTACGAATCGGATGCGGAATATCTGGATCGGTATATTAACAGTTTTCCTTTTACTTTCTAATTAGCTATATTATTACTAATCTTACTTATGATAGTCTATATCGAAACTATTTTCATCATTCAACTCAGTAACTTTCTTGCAGCGATGAAGATGAAGACGATATCGAAGAAGATTCTGATAATCAAGGAGGCAGACAGTATTCTAGACGACATTATTATGATGAGGATGATGGTAATGATTGGGAAGAAGAAGTGGTTATCAGGCGAACACCTCGGAATCGACCTGAAAATTATGTTGTAGTCAAGAAGTAAGTGTTAGAGCTGCATTTACTGCCATGGCATTCAATATCCTCTTACGTTGATTTTTTAGATCGGTATGCCTAAATTGTTATCTTTGTAGGTCTTCATCCAAGCGACCAGATTTGTCTACCCCAAATGGATCAAAATGGAAGGAGTACACACCTCGAGCAAATACTTCGTATTACCGAGATAGCCCTCGTTCTCAAAACTCTTCGCGTTATACTTCACCAATGTCAGCAAATAAGCGATACCAACAAGAGTGAGCGTGACAGTTCTTTGCTATTTTGTTAACGTATGATGCCTTTTCAGATCTTTGAGGGACAGAGATGACATTGAGTATGACTCATCTTATGGTCGAAAGAGTAGGAGGCAAGAGCCGAAGCCGGTGCAAAAGTGAGTCACTTTTGATGTGGTTATGTAACTATGTTTTTATCTGTGACGTAGTTCTTAGGCGGAATGAATCGGCCAGCGAGTTTCTAAGCTCTGACTCTGATGATTTACGAGAGGAGGATTTCTATCCCAAAGGGAAATTCGACTACGAACGTGATTGATCGGATTTCCGAACTAACATTGTTTTACTTTGGTATATAGTTTTGTTGCATGTATTTCTCACTCTTTCTGTCTACTTCGACACTTGTGTATATTCAAAATACTGGTTCTGTAATAGTTTTCAGGTAGTGTTTTTCTGTTGCGCTTTCTCTTTTACATCTCTGAACCTCATCTCTACAACAGTGCTTTCTAAGAAGCAAATTTGCATAGTGTAATATAACTTCGTTATCAGTCCAATCAAAAAATATAGTGTAATCAGTTGCATATGATATCTAAATTCGGAAACAGAATGTGGAAGCGTTTAGTTCTACGCTAGTTTTGCTTGGCCCGTCACTCTTGTTTATGTGATTTCAACAGCAAGAAGTTTTCAACTATTTTTAACCTGTTTCCCTTATCCTGAAAATTGTTACTCTACATTATCTTTCAGGTCTTGTTTTAGTGCATGCCATTTTGCATTTGCCACACTCATTTGCGCTCAAAATTCACTCATTCTTCACCCTTTGCTGCTACCTTAGTTGTACGAGTTGAACATATATGTAAGTGTCCTTTCATGCGTGTTTCTTCTACGAGGATCTCAGTATTGTGCTTACATTTTTTGAATAAATCGCAGTGTGTAATGATTGTTCGCATTATAAATTTTGTTCCGTAGTTGCGATCTTTCTCATGAGCGTACCTGAATCTAAGAAAGCCGAGATGGTATACATTCATTCTTAAGTGTAAAATTATTCCTACTAGGTTATTGATGTGGCTTTGATCCAAAGCACGAAGCGCGCTTCTGGAGACTAAGCGTCAGCACCGGCTCAAGCTTTTTACGTTTTCTTAGACTTGCATGCGGTCATGCTGGATCCGCTCCGGAAATGACTGGAAGAAGATTTGAAGAATAACTGGCAAGTTTACTTTTGAAACGATGAGATCTCAAGAAACA